ATATGGAAAGAGTTTGGTATTTACAGGTGGATTTCATGCTTCAATATAAAACTGCATACTTGTTAATACCTCAGTCTGGACATTAAGTTTAAAAAAATTTAGTCTAGAAATATTTGACTTCTGCTTGCAGGCACTGACACTAATTGAAAAAAAATGAAAAGATGATCAATGATACCAGGATTAAGATTATTTGACTGAAAGTAATGTTAATTAAAAATGCCATTGAAATCAAAGTTACAAAAATACATACACACTGGCATGCAAAACAAAGTCCAGTGCAGCATTACTCTCCTGGCAGTCCACAGTGAGAGACTTGAAAAAGTTAAGTGCAGCATATACAGATGTCAGTAAAAGCAGCCTTGAAATAACATCCTGGCCTCATGATCCCTCCTACAGAGGAGGAAGACTTTTCAGTCCAGAATTTTAGGAGTGGAGATGAGACATAACAACCATTTCAGTGCATGCACTGCCAAAGCCACAAAGCATGGCAGACCTTCTTTCCTAAAGAAGTTACAGCCCAAAAATCACTCTGAAGCACAGACTAACTACTCTGCAACCACTTGCTTAACCAGATCAGACATCTGGCTTCAATGCTTGTTGCCTCAATTCTCTTCAGAGTAAGTATCAGTGAGGCCAAAATATTGCTCTCAATTCACAATTTGGGATTTAGGACTTAGGCTGCAGATGCTGAAAATAACAGTCTTAATTACTCATAATGGTAAACATTCACATTTAATATTTAATTTAGGATACAAGTAACCTGCTGTTGCCTTCCTTTATCAAGATTTTGGTCAGCCATAATAGACAGATTTCTCCAACAGAACACAGGATTTTTATAGGCCTCATTTTAATTCCATGTTTCCATTTTCACCATGCACTTAATTATTCAATCTTAACTAAAACATACTAATAATTTTGTAGGGACAAAATTACCTGCAGGGTCAAGTCTAGAATTTTTGTGGTTAACTAATAAAGGTGCAACTTGTGCCATATGATAAAACATGAAGCATAGCATTTAAAAAGTGTTCAGAGTCTTCTCTGGAGAAACATGCTAATGTTCAGAAGGAAAATAGAGGCCTTTGAAAATAGAAAGGCATAAGGCTTTTTTATCTTTTAAGTTTTACAAGAGCTGCGAGATTAAATACTTTAATTTTTCTGTGTGGTAAATTGAAGACCTCTGTTAGCACTTAGCTGTAGTTACTGTGACAAAATACAGAACTTACAATTGTTTCTTTGAGATTACTTGAAATTTCTGTACTAACTAACCATTTCATACTGAGTATAACTGAGATTATACAAGCTAATGGTTGTGTCTGTTGATTTGGTGGCATTTTTGTTGATGGGTGACTTTACAACCCAGTTAAGCAGCGTCTCTATTCACACATTCTCCAGTACTTGTGACTCAAAGGCAGCAAAGAACAACTGCCATAAAATGAAATTTCTAAATCATATCCTCCTATACAAGGATATTCTCTTGTACTGATACTATGTGTTTTTCCTCCATTATTTCATCTGTTGATCCTTATGCAAGAGGAGCCTGGAAGAGGAAAAACTGCAGCTAAAAATACCTCAAAACCTAGAAAATGCTGTAACTTGAGAAGGTATGAAAAGAGAACAAGTGATGCCTGAGGACATCATCTGGAAAGTGGAAGAATAGGCTTGTTATAATTCATTCTCCTTTTCCTAATAAACCTATATAAGCTCAAAATTAGCCCCAGTGTTACATCTGGACTGCCCTGAAGTTGCTGGAAGACTTGGATTTATCACTATCTTAACACTTTCTCTAAAGGGACTTATGTAATCAAAGTGCAGTATTTAAACAACTGTTAACAAGTTCATTCATATTTCAGCTGGAATTCAAAGTTATTTAAACTAATTAAAGGAAAAAAATCCTTCAAAATTAATAGCAATTTGAACCAAAACAATACCTATGGTTAGGAAAAAGGAGTCAAGCTAACAAGTCACATTACTGAAGTGAGAGAGCAATCTGAATTGAGTAAGGAAAAAAGTAAGAAATGTTGATTCTTTCTCAAAGGCACCTCTCCTAAAATCCCTCATAAATTAAGTGGATAGTAGGCAAAAAAAAACCAGGAAAAAAATGTTTAAGAATTCTCACTAAAAAATACAAACTTATCAGCCAAGTTCTACCTGCTTTAGCATTTCTTTAAGATGTTTTCCCCCACCCAGGTGATGATGGTGTAAAAAAAGAATAAATGTATTTGCCAGCTGCTATTTAAAGGAACTTGCTAAAGAAGTGAGTAGATAACTCCTTTGAAGCTTACATGATACATATGGGAAGTCAAGACTAGCAGGGTTGCTATTGTACTTTAGAAGTCACTTTTGAGTACAACAGGTAGTTGTAGGAAGCACTGCTCACAGCCACAGCAACACGCTCCCTCTCTAGCTTCACTGTCACCTCACATTTCAAAGGTGTTTATTGCTATATTTTAGTTTAATAAGCCTGCTAGACTCATGTAAGGATTAAAGAGACCCAAATAAAGACCACCTTCCACTCAAATCAGACTGCTGACCAGGTGGTCAACCATTCATTTTTGCAAAACAAAGAAACAGCAATGGCCAGAAGCGTTGATCTTAATGTTAGCAACATCCAGGTGCCTGTTTTTCACTGTGATTAATGTGATGTCTGAAGAATATCAGAGTGAGCTCCCACCAAAAGCTCTGCAAAGCTCAGCTACACACAATCAATTACCTTTGTGATATAATACAGCTACAGTTCACTTTTACTTATTATCTTTTAGAATAAACAGAAATTTCGTTACTTAGTATTATTTTGAAGTCTTGCCCAGCATCCAAAGTTTACTCCTATCCTTCAGATGGCCACAAGATGTTACATCTCCTGTTTGGTGAGCTTCTTCATTCAAGTTCACCATCAGAATCAAAATGTTTTATTTCCCTGAATAAAACATTAACATTGGATACCTAACGGTAACTTACAAGCTGTCTATGTTAATTCTATCAGCAATAATACATCTCAAACATATAGAAAGTGGGTCCAGTACTGCTGGGCCTGTCATATTTTGTCATTCTATGCATCTGAAAGACATTTCCTAGGAATGTTTCAAGATCTGAATCTATGAATTAAAATGTTTTTCTTTAGGCCAATTCACACAGTTAAGCCTTTGCCCCTGTTAGTTATGAAAAGTTGGCATGAAAAAACACAGCTTGCAGCACCAGTAGCACTAAAATACTGAACTGCAATGAAACCAGCAGAATCATGCAAGGTGTTGTCTAGTAGCAGTAAATGAAATTTAATAAACTAATAAATAACTTAAAAGGCATTCAACATAGTAAGACAGTTTATCACCAGCCTAAATTATTGATTTTCTGCATTCATTGACAGTTTGTTTTCCCATATGGTAGGTTTGCTACATATTAAATATTTAGTTAAGCTTTTCCATTTTTAAATGCTTCTTATATGTCAAAGCTGTACACAACTTCAAGAGAAAAAGAACAGTAACATAAAAACAGCTAGCATTAAAGAAACAAAACTGACCTTTGCAAAGTTTAATATTAACTTTTTAAAAATGCTACTGTATATAAATTCCCATTCCTGTTTTGTGATTACACAAAACTTCTGAAAAACTCTCATTCTACTTTGCTTTGCAATTGTTTTATACTTATAATCTATCCCTCCAGTTAAGCAAAACTTGTAAAGTTAAATGCTTTGTTCCTCCTTGCTATAGATGTTTTATTATACGGAAAACCTATTTCTGAAGCCAAGAGATACTACTTGTTACTAGATGGCCAAGTTAACACAGATTAGTGGCAAAAGATGATGATCTAAAAGAACAGAGATTTCACAAGATTAACAATTTAAGTAGATTTCTTTCTTCCAAAAGAGCATATTTTCTTTAGTATAGCTAAGTACCTTTGAAGAGGCACCAAAAACAAATAGCCCTTTCAACTGTACTTTCAAAAAAAAATTTAATTTTCATTTCAAAAGGGATCTTGAAATTACTAGATACACATACATGCCTCTCCCACGGCCCTGCAAGATACATTCAGTAATTTAAAATAAATTTCCATACTTTATAACTTCATATATATTATATATTTAATATATAATATATATTTATATGTACATTACACAGATACATACACTCTCAGTCAGCAGGATTAAACTTTTTGTTTTGAAATGTTTGATTGGTGTCACTAATCTACTACTATGATCTTGTTAATTCAATGGAATTTATCTATTACCTGGAAAGAAGAAATTTAAAAGATCCAAATGGAATCTGTGGATCAATATTAGCACCAATACAGATGGCCATTACTTTAAATTGACTGCAGGGACTGAAATAATATATTTTTGACAACTCTCCTCTTACTGCACAAACATTCCTGCAAAATATTTAGGCAGTAATACCTGTCAAGTCCATACATCTATTCCTGTTAAATTTAAATTTTATACAACTTTCCTTACTGTAATATACAGTATCTCTTTTGTCCTGTTGGATTATTTCATTTTTCATGGAGAAAAGTGATCAATAGCTATCCAACAGAACATTTTTATTTATTTTTTTTAAATCCCCTTTCTCCTTCCATTGTATGGCTCAGTTTTGTGATTTAATCAATAGGCAGCCCCCAGAACTATAACCAGCACCCTTCTAACAGTTAACTCACTGACTCTTGATGCTGAAAACACAAAGTTTTGAGGTTGGCTTGCTGTTTATGGAAACAAGATACTCAGAGGTCATATCTTTACAGCACGCTCATCACCACCTGCCACACAGTAAAGTCAGCCAGTCCTGATACTACAATTCAATTTGTTACCTACCATTTGGGTAACAAAAACAACAAACCCAGTTGCAATTTTCAACATTATTAAGAATATTCACCCTGAGAACACAGAGGAAGTGTTTAATAAAAATTCTGATATGTTTTCTCTTCGTATGTAATTTTCTTCTTTTCATCCCCTTTTGGGTAGCTGGGTTTGTATCTCGTATTTGACCTCACACTTGCTTTGTCAGTTGACCTGTTCATGCCACCGTCAGGTACTGGTGATAGAAAAGCCCAAAAAGGCTTGTAGAGAAGAGGCAAGCAGCAATCCACCAGGTGAGGAAAGACAGGAGTCCCCGGAACAGAAGAGGAGTGAAAATATTCTTTAGGCTTCCCAAAGCCATTGTTATTTGTACTACAGTTACTTTCATCTTTCCATCAGCAGGTGGACACTCAGTATAAACTGAACTGGGGAGCAGACTGTTTTCCACTGGAGTGTCAGAATTCAATTCCGGGTAGACGCCCCAAGAATAATTACCTGTTAAAAAGAAACGAGTAACAGATTTTTGTAGAATTAAATTTCTGTTCTGTTATGTCCACCACTCTACATCTGTAGATGTATATATTTTTCACACACACAAAGAAAAATATTTTTTCTAACAGTAAATGTTGTGTTTATATGCATGGCTTTCTGATCATACTAGTAAGTTATTAAGCTAGAATTCATCTTAGCTTTTGACATGCTAACATCTGTATGTGATTTAGCTGCCTTCAGACACTTGTCAGTGCTAAGCATCATTCACCTGATCAGAGTCAGATGTCTGCTCCTGAACAGGAAGAATTAGTCTAATAAACCTTACGTTTTCCACTGACTTTTCGCAAACAGAATGCCACTACTGCATGGCAGCCTGTGGAGACATCCCTCACAAGAGAAAAGAAAAACAAAAGAAAATAAATCTAGAGTGATATAAGATATCCAATAATGAAATGAACCCCATATCTCACCATATCTCTTCAAAGAGCTCACTTAGAACCGAAAAGCTGAAAAAACTTCCCTTTAACAGGTGCTCACAAGGTTAAATCAACAATGATTTTTACAGCTCACTTTAAAATCACTTTTTAAAAGTATTTTAACAGAAGCAAACAGCTTAATTTGCTGGATTACCTAATTTCTCAGAAATAAATATAAAAAATTAGCATATAATTGAAAGACATCAAAAGCAGCAACAGAAGAGGACAGCTTAAAAGCCACACAACAACACATTTTGAATTCAGGAAACTACAGTGCATTTCTGTATTTTGAGTACTCAATACATTTCAATTATCTTAAGTAAGCCAAAAATATAAAAGCCCTGTGTAGAAAGGAACATATTTTTTTTATCCAATTTTGCCTACCTAGTGTTTTCAAGAGCAGAGTTGTGTGAAGGAGCATTACCAATGGTGCAACATACTGCAGTGCAATTACACAAAGATAATAGAATACTCGAGCCACCTGGGAAAACAGAAGAGAGTAATTCTTGAGTTCTGGCTGATCAATGTAAACCTTTATGAATACGTCTAGAATAAAGCAATTTATTAAAAAGCAGTACTTTTGCAGTAAAGGTGTTGCAAAAGCTTTCTGGCACATCTTAACATGTGACATATTGCCTTCTGAAGATCTAATGAAGAAATCTCTACAACGAATTCTGCTTTCAGGACACTCACAAACCTGAGAGGAGGTGCTTAAAATAAATAATTAAAAAGCATCAGTTCTGTTAAAATAAACAGAATCAGCTTTGCTTCTGCAAACAGCTTGTCAAAGTTTCCTATTTCAATACCCCAGAATCAAATCAAATATATGTTTAATTTTCAAAATCCCAAGTGATTTAAAAACTAAATCCCATTTCAAAATTGAAGTAGTATTCAGAGCCCAAGGCCTCATACAAAGTGAAGGAAAGTCTGGTTAATATTGCAGCCCCTTCTCAAAAGTGAGATATTTTTTAGATTTCTAACTGTGAAACATCAGTATTTTAAATACAATGTCAATATTTTCTTTAGTAGTTGATCAATAAGAACATTTAAACTGCCTTTATTTCAGGTACCCATTATGGTTCATTGAAATCCACTCAGATTTATCTGTCCCCTTGCTCCTAATCTGCTCCATCTTTCTTGAGTTTGTTACATTATGTATTTTATATAAGCTATAGACTTAAAGGACTAGATCAAATAAAGAAGGTAAAAAGTCATAAAATCAATAGCAAGCAAGAAATGAAATAAAGCTAACTGGATTTTAGGAAAGAACAGAACACAAGACGGCAAAAAAAGATGGAGGAAGACTTGATATTTTTAGAAATACAAGGTAAAACACTTCCGAGAACTTCATGATAAGCAATCCTCAAAACACTACCATGAGGAGAAAAAGCAGTGAGGTACTAACAGAAGAAAAACCTTGGGACAAAAATACTGTAAGATAACTGATGGATTATGATAAAAAGAACAAACTAAAAAGTTATGATCACTTCAGAATGACAGATAGAAAAGACTTCACTGGCAGATATTCCAGAAGAAGATAAAGCAGACATGGCTAGTAAAAGTAGACAGGACTTCAACTTCTTAGCCATGGCCTCCTTGAAAGGAAGACAGGGAGATACTGGATAAACTGAATTAGGATACATCACATAGAGAGGGCATTATTGTTTATAGATGGGAAGAAAGCTCCCAAAACTAAAACTATGCATTCACAGCAATCAGTACAGATCTGTACTAACCAGTTAATGCTACCTGCACTTCCTAACCTTTTTTTCTGAAGCAAACTGCTAGACACTTTGTTTGTGAGTAGCTACTTCATGGTCTACATACGACCTTCAGATACTCAGTGAAACCATAATTATAAGTAACAGTGACAATTCTAAGAGGAATGTTTGCCTTGTGGCATAGTTCAATATTCCTTCTGCAAGACACCCCAACTCAGTAGGAACATCAGACAGCACTATCACACATTAGAAATGTAAGTTTATTTTGCAGGCAGCATGCAACACCATTCTAGAACAAACATATGAATTTCTATCTCATTTTGATGATGGTATCTTGTATTACTTTCCTTTTAAAGAAATACCAATCAAAGGCATCTGTCCTCTGTCACAGTAACAAGATAGGCAGAGAGATTTGCTATTTGGCTAGCGCACTTGGAATGGACTGACAGAATCAAACATGTCTCATTTTATCCCAAAATGCAACCACTGTATCATAAATTTTACCCCGATTTAAAATCATAGTTGGAATTAGGTAGCAGTATTTTACCTTTGCACCTAATTTCAACTTTTTTTCACATATTGGACCTACAACTCACCACTCACCCTATGTACTCCCCAAGATAAACAGAAATGCTGAACAGAAACTCAGCGTGTTTGTGAATAATTGTAAAGAACAATTCATGAAAGGATCTTTTATAAAAACTACTGAATAACTTAAGCCATCTGCATAATAGAGATGACACATCCCTGCATATTTTGTTTTGCAGAATTTCTCTTTAGTGGTGCTATTTTTAAAGAACATACAGTTTAGGAAGCTTCGTTCAGATTTCAGCTCTGGTTGCCCAGAAGACATAGCAAACTGGAGAAAAAAAAAAAAAAAAGGCATTTGTACAGAGCACTCCAAATAGGTAAATTCAGAGTCACCATACTTACCATTTTCTGCAAATCAACCATACTTATTCTGCCAGCTTCCTTTTTCATCTGATCCACACTTTTCTGGGCTAAATTCAGATAGGCCTGTAAATGACGACGCATCATAGCCAAACGTAAAGCACACAACAGGATAATAATCCATAACCTCATGGTGTCAAATGTATCTTCAGACATTCTGTGGATTAAGAAAAAAAAAAAAGGGTTTAGCTTTTTTCCCAAAGGTCACCTACTGCTAGTTGAAGCCTATTGTCAATAATACTTCAGACACAATCTACAGTTATGAAGTTCATGTGCAAGTAATATTTACTTTTGCCCTCTGCTTCTCCCTTTACTACTATTTCTCAGTAGCTCCATTACAGGTTTAGATCAGAATTAGTATACATTTTACTAGAAACAAGAACAGCTCTTAAATGCTTAAATTCTGAGTAATGAAGACAGGATACTAGAAAACAAGCTTACTCAGGTAATTACAGGTTTTGAGACACACAGTTCTAAATACGAAATATGTACTTCAGTTGTCTTAGATACTGTGTTATAGTACAATGCTCATTTCAAAATAAACTGAGGAACAAAAAGGAAACACAAAATACACATTTGCAGTATTTTATGTATTAGCTCAGATTCACCTTAAAAGAATATCTTAGGCCTAGAAGCAGTAGCAATAATCTGTTTCAAGTCTTTTGGAATACTACTATTGTGAATTAGCTAGACTAACAGTGACAACAGCAATCACCTATACTACTTATACAATATGTATTTCAGATACCATTCTTTCTGAAAAAGCTTTCCTTTTCTCTATTTTAAATACTATAGCTATTCCATATGCAATTACTCTACATATAGACGTTCAGACATTATCACTTATGTCTGTTCTCATGCCAATGTATGTCAGCTGTCTTCAATGCCCACTCCTCTCTTACACCACTATGCAAGATACAAGGTTCCAAAAGGAGCTAGTGAAGTAGTATTCCACCCCCAGGAAGAAGATTCCAGCCAAGAAAATGCCTGAAGACAGCAGCTTTTTGGGAGCCACCACTTTAACATTTTCCATGGCTATTTCCCATTCTTCCAAAATAAAAAGAAACCCTTTAAGGCTTAGCTGCAACTTCCGCAATACCTGTGACAGCAGATGCTATTTAATTTTCAGCCTTTCACATTTCTGTGACTTTCACAGGGTTCCACTTAGACTTACAGTTTTGTTTTCAATACCCCAGAAAGAATTTTAAAAGGGAATCTTACAAAGGAACGCTCTCTTTGCCCAAAGGTGGGTTCATAATGTAGTCCTTAGTGATTGGTTTTACCCACAGTAGAACCATAAATAATGGTGCCAAGAAGTTTATATGTAGTAATGTTCTGAAAGAAGAAAAAAAAAGGGGGGGAAGTTATTAAATACAAAAAATTACCACACTGTTGAAACTGGGGGTACAGATTTTAAAGGAGAAATTCAAATTTTAAAATAGTTGGGAGAAGGTAAGGAAGAAAATTACTTCCCTATTTAAAGTTATGGCTTATGCTGCAACAAAATAGCAGTACCACATATTGTGAAATAACATGGGTTGCAGCTTTTAAAAAAGTGTTCTTAGACTGTCTGTAAACCTGATTTATTCCAAACAATATAACCAAAGGAGCTACCTGCATTATGCCACACTACAGTGGAAGACAGTTGTTCAAAATTTCCATATGATGGCACAACACCAAACTGCACTAGCCACCATTTTTAACCCCCAGAGTCAGTATCTCAAATGGGTAACTATGGGAAATATGCTGCTCTATTAGTATTTCCTTGTTTTATTAAAAATGTACTCAGATTCATTTCCACTACCTATACAGACAAGGTAAAACAGTTCTAGGTGGTCAGCTTTCCCAGCTTAAAGAAGATTTTTACTTATAAACCTTGGCTATATATATGGCTTGGTACTTACATTCAATTAAAGATACTTGGACAAAGAAAAAAAGCCAGAAGAACTATTCCATTTTAAAAGTGTTGTATGAAGCTGCATACTTATTGTAAAAGTAGTACTCTTTTGTAACCTTTGAGTACAAAACAGCAGAATTCAAAAAGAAAGGATAATTTTCTGGAGGTTTTCTTTAATTAATATCCTTCTTCACTTCCAAACCGCATGCCCAAATTATTTTTCATTACTAAAATGAAAGGAAAACAATCCAAGACTTTGGTGCTATAGATCTGCTGGTTTTAGTAGTACAATTAATGCCTCCTGGGAATCAGACTCAGCTTGCCTATACTTCCATCTCCAACCAGAGTGCTTCTACACTAGAAAAAAAGAGGGAATTAAAACTTTTTCTAAAGAACACGAGACCTTACTGATTTCAAACTATCAAGATTCCTAAAACTATTTAAATGTTTGCATGTTTCAGAAGATGTCATCACATACATTTATATCACTGATTTCAAATGAAGAATACTGAAGGGAGCCTACAGGAAAGCTGGGGAGGGGCTTTTCACTAGAGATGGCAGTGATAGGGCAAGGGGTAATGGTTTTAAACAGAAAGAGGGGAGATTTAGGTTAGACATCAGGAAGAAATTCTTCACCATGGGGGTAGCAAGACACTGGCACAGGTTGCCTAGAGAGGTTGTGGATTTCCCATCCCTGGAGGTGTTTAAGGCCAGGTTGGATGAGGCTTGTGCAGTCTGGTCTAATGTGAGGTGTCCCTGTTCATACCAGAGAGGTTGGAACCTGATGAGATTTAAGGTCCCTTCCAACCTTAACCATTCTATCATTCTATAAAACACACTGATTCAGTCTTGCTACGGAACACAAACAGCATCAAAAAGCAGTTCAAAGGTTTTCTTAACTCAGGACACTATTTTACCTGAGCTACTTATTTAAAGATATCCTACTGAGTTAATGGATGGTAATGTACCAAAGGTGGCAAGAATGACTTTGTTTTATCAAGTACAGGGAGAAAGGTTAAAAGACTCTTGAAGTAGACTCTGAAGAAAAAGGGAATGTGTATGAAAAGGGTATAAATTGATTAAGAAGACTCCAAAATGTATGTAGGCAAGGACATTGCTGCTGAAGAAAAAAAATAAAACCAGCCATCAAAAACAAAAGGGATACCAGATTTTTATTCTGTTGACCCAAAAAAATCCTTACTCCTACATACAGAAAAGAACCACGTTAATAATTTTGACCATATCAGTGAAGCGGTAGTTAATTACTAACCTTCCCCCCACCCCTTAGGTCAGTGTTCCCTGTAAGTTAAGTCTTCCATTTTTTTAATGGAATAGGAAAAGAAGTTTGTCTCCTCTTTGGTGTTGTTTTGTTGTGGGTATTTTTTTTCTGTTTCTTTTTTTTTTTTCTTTTATTCTTTATTCTTTTGGTTTTTAGTTGATTGGTTTTGGAGGGAGCTTGGGGACTGGTGGCTTTTTGGGCAGTTTTGGCAACTTGGGCGTTTTGCTTAGGCTTTGGGCTAGTTTAGGTTTGTTTTCCAATAGCATAATCTGTATTTGCCTGCAGAGAAAGACATTATTCTCCTGCACCCAAATAGAAATCTCCATATCACTGACACTTCATCCTCATTCACTACTCCTGTATAGTCACTGCCAAACAACTGCGAAGTCAGTAATGAACTATTCATTGATAAAAACACATAGGGCAAATACTGATCTCTTCAAGCCAAATAGAACATACCACTTGGCAGTCCCAGTATCCTTTAAACATTAGAGGTCTTTCATACCAGTGGACACTAATTACCCTTTCAGTTCTTAATTAATCATCTTCTGTTTCAGAGATTTTCTATTCCTGCCTAGTATCTCATGCACAGATCAAGAAAGATGTTGGAAAATTAGATGATAATTACAGAAAACGAAAAAGATATTTTAAAATATTGAGAGGCATATAAATTAAAAACTAAGCAGTTTAATGTGTTTAGCTGAAAAAAAAAGATTAGGAAGTGACTCAGTCACAGTCTACACACAGACAGAAACTTTACAGCAGATAACACAAGTCAACAGCTTGTACCTGGATGCATTCAACTACAGAGTGCAAGTGTAACACAGAGTACCTGGTTATAAATTTACCAAGAGTGAAAGACTCACTTGAAACACAGATTAATTTTTAAGATGGGCACTTTTGGGGGAAAAGAAACATGCAGTTTGAACATACAGAATTTTCATATCAGAAAATATAATGGTTTTCTAAGGAAAGTCACCAGACTAAATTATCACAATGACCTATGCTGCAGAATCTTTCAATAATATGTATTAGACATGAAAGGTCAAGGTCTATGAACAACTTTTGGGATTTATCTCTCAATCTGAGAATGCTGAAGAGAAATAGTTAAATTGGAGAAAATGTTTTAGTACCAAACTCAAGTACAGTTGAAACAGAAAATACTCCTTTAAACTGGTATTAGCATCTGACCCATATTAAATGTTCTGGGTCATTTTCTTTGTATCTTACCATAAATTTATTAAAGGCCTGATGCCCACCTAGATATGAGGTGGGGAAAAAAAGTCTTTGGTTGCACCTCTACTTCTTCAAAGTTCCAAAAAGATATGATGGGGGAAAGGAAGCAGCTTCTCAGCAGAAACATTCACGGTGGAGCTCTTGCAGGCCGAAAGGAAAGCTCCTTTAATTGGGACTCTAATTACAAAGCAAAGAATGTAATAGACTGGCAGAGCACAGGTTGAGCAGGAAGAGGCAGGTGGCAAGTCTGCTCAAGATACAAAAAGCAGGCAGCAACAGAAGTCTTAGTCACTACCTTCTCGTTGGAATAGTTTGCTGTTTACTTTCAGACATTAAAGATTTAAGACTGAGTAAGATATACCTATGTGCATATATTTTCTCTTACTGTGTTATTTTTTCTGTTGCTAAATTCAGAGCATCCAGATGCATTTGAGCCAGTCGCAAGCCAGGGAATGTCAAAAAAGCACCAATAAGTGAACACAGAACAGCCAGGAACAATTTGAAGGTTAGTTTAGACACAGGACCCCTAAAAGAAAAGAAAGGAAATAAGCATTTTCTTGGGGAGAAGTTGGGGGGAGGGGTTTAATCAGAGACTACTTTCAACTCAACAGTATCTAACATTTAATAAAAAAGCAAACAGTATTCTATAGTTTTACTCTGGAGTATCAGCATTATTACAAACCAATCAAAGTTAAAAATCTGAGTCACTTATTTATTTTGTAGAAAAACAGAAAACCTAAGCTACAGCCTGTAAGATGTTAAGTTTGTTAGCAGAGAAGAACTGAAAAAGGAGTATGTTGTAATAAAAAACAAATTACACACCAAAAATAGCTAACAGAATGAATGCAATTATTATGTTTTTTAAGTGAGGAAAAGATGCATCATAAATTTAACTGCTCAACAACAAAACGGATATGTAAATTACACTACTGACATTGTACTATTATCCATTAAAAAGTTCTATCAAATTATTATTACAGCAGTTTTTCACAGATTTATTTAAATCATACATGTGGCCAAATAACATCTCTTTTGAGTGATTAATATAAGTTTTTTAATCAACTATGGAGCACATTTTGAAGTTCAAGAGAAAAATATCCAGGATCAACTTAATTACAGAATTGACAAACACCAGATGACACAAGAAACAAGTAACATGTAACTAACACAAAGAGGAACAGAAACAAATCTAGTGATCCACATGAATTTCATTCTTAATCTAAGTCATATAAACTACCAAGAGACACCATCATCAGTTCAACTGCTCCTGTAAACAGCCAAAGCACAACAAAAGTTCAAAAATATACACTTAACAGGAAAATTAATACAGAAGTTAGTAAACTTGCAATAGCTTAGGAAAAACAGTGAAGAAAGGCTAAGAAGCACATGGGATTCAGTTAAGGGTTTCCCATGAGTTGATAAATGACACACTAATCTCGTGTAAGGAAACTTCTGTTCCTCAAAAATAGAGTGCCCATGGTTTCTGCATGATACTTCAGAACTTCTAAGCAAGAAATTCAAAGCTGTACTCCCACAGTGATTACATATACCCCATAAATGCACTTCAAAGCAAAGAACTGTACCAGAAATGTTTTATAGTATAAAAAGGCTGTCCAGAATAGAGACTGTGCATTTATGTAACATCACAAGCTATGGCATGTTCCTTTGACAGGCTATACAAAACTTGGATGTCCTGTAGCAAGCAGATGTTTTTGCATAATATGAAAACATTACTGCAATATGGAATCACTGAGAGCCAAAATTTACTCCCAAGGTCAATTTTATCAAAAGCTCCATTAGAAGCACAGCCATCCTCTTGCATACCACAGGAATGGAAGCAAAAAAACCTGAACACCTATCAACTGATTTAAGCAATCCTTGCAAAGCTGAAGGGAAATACCATTACAAAAAAATGTTTATGGCTTTGAACTGTATCTCCAAATTAAAAATGAAGGCGATTTAGTTTCCTTGTGAAGACTAACTGTTTTCATTAACCTACCTCTCCACATTATTTTAGAGATTATAAGCATGTACAAGAGCAAAACATGTAAGAGAAATGCTTGCTAAGAAAATCCAAGTGGTTCAGTCATAACTGCACATAAAAACAGGCAAAAGTACTTCCAAAACTTACTGGGATTCCAAACCTTGCTTTTCAAGGAACTGCATAGCACTTTCTGAGAAATTCGAGAATCCTGCAGAGACACATTAGATGTATTTTATTAAAAGTACAAAAGCAGAATCCCTCTTTTGAAATAAAATGTTAAGTAGCAGGTGGTCTTTTAAACAATTTTTGTATGTCTGGTATAGCTCTTCCATGTCTTAATGAGTATGCCATAATGCAATTTAAAAAATATTATTAAAATCTCTAATATCTGTACACTTCAGGAATATTAACAAAATAAACATCTTTTACAAAAATAAGTTGTTGGGTTGTTTTTTTTTCAGTAAAGGAGCTTCACTTTACTATGAAAGGCAAAATGGGTTAAATGTAAAACTGGAAGGTAAATACAATTAATAAAACAAGCAACTTAGGCAAAAATCACACTATTTAAAAGAAAGCGGGACAAATACCCTTCAGAATCTGCATTCCAAAGCAGTTAGAAGTGTACAACATATAGAGTTCATTCTAACAGAGATACTCTCAGAAACACGTAAAAGACAGGAAATAAATATTTCCAAACACATAGTGCTCTTGCGAGCACTAAAGAAAGGAGTTACCTGATTCCAGGCCAAACTCTAGATAGTTTTCTGTCACAATGAGAATTGCCATTGCTTTCACGAAGAAGAAAAAACCAAAGGTGACACAGACTGATCTTTCACCTCCATCCTCTACTTTGAAATAATGGGTAGTCAACGAAAACAGTACCTTACTACACAAGAAAAGGTCAAGGAAAATTAAGAACTGCAAAGCTGTGTTTTGGTCATGCACACTAGGGTTGTCCTATGATACGTAATTTTTTTTTAAGAAAGCAATGTGCTCAGTCAATTTCAAGTTGAAATTACAGAATGCTGTAAAGCACAATGATCACATAATGGGTAGCCATAAATACACTACTCTTGAATATAGTTTTCGTTTAAGCATACTTACAGTAAATTGCAGCAATATTCACTATCAACCTAAAATAATTAAACCAGAGTTTAAATATAAACAAATAGATTATCAGAAGTTAAATTAAACTAAACTAAACTACAATCAATCCTCTTCCAGTTTTAAACCACTACCCTTTGCCCACTCACTACAACCTCTTGTAAAAAGTCCCTCCCCAGCTTTCCTGTAGCCCCTTCAGGCACTGGAAGGTGCTCTAAGGTCTCCCTGGAGCCTTCTCTTCTCCAGGCTGAACATCCCAACTCTCCCAGCCTGTCTCCAGAGCAGAGCTGCTCCAGCCATCAAATAATCTCTGTGGCCTCCTCTGGACCTTCTCCATGAACTCCATGTCCTTTTTATGTTGGCGGCTTCAGAACTGGACGTAGTACTCCAGATGGGGTGTCATGAGAGCACAGAAAACCCCTTGACCACACCTCTTTTCATGCAGCCCAGGACAGTTTGTTTCTGTGCTGCAAGTGCATGGTGCTGGCTCATGTTAAGCTTCTCGTCCCCTATCACCCCCAAGTCGTCCTCCTCAGCATGTTTCCCATCCAGCCAGACTGTATTTGTGCCTGGGATTGCCCTGACTCAGGTGCAGGACCCTGCAACTTGCCCTTGTTGAATTTCATGCAGTTTCCTTCCCTACAGGCACCCCTTCACTCCAGCATGTCACCTCACCTCATACTTTGGTGTCATCAGCAAACTTGCTGAGGGTGCACTCAATACCACTGTCCATGTCTCCAACAAAGATATTGAACAGCACTGGTGCCAGTACCAACCCTTGGGGAACACCATTCATCACTGGTTTCCACCTGGACATCAAGCCATCGATCACCACTCTTTGAGTGTGACCATCCAGACAGCTCCTTATCACCAAGTGGTCTATCCATCGAATCCCTATTGTTTCAGTTTGGATACCAGGATGTTGTGCAGGACAGTATCAAAAGATTGCACAGGTTCCGGTAGATAACATAAGTTGTTCTTCCTTTGTCCACCAATGCTGTGGCCCCAATACAGAAAGACACCAAATTAGTCAGGCAGAATTTGCCCTTGGTGAAGCAGTGTTGAGTATCACGAATCACCCCTCTGTGAATTAATGCCTGTATCTTTACCATAAATTAGTATACATATTACCATATTATTTTTTTCAGGAAGTATGAGATGAAACATACTGAAAACAAAAAGTGTGCAGTCAAAAGCTGTAAATACTTTCTGTACAGAAATCTAATTCTGATTGCCAAACTGTGCAAAACCAAACTAGTTTAGAACCACTATATATTACAGATGAGCACTGAGTGTTCATACAGATGTCTTTTTTCCATAAATAGTAGCCTAAATACTTGTGTATCCTGCCTATCAACAATACAATGGTTTATGAATCACCAAATGATTTAAACTATTTGGAACAGGTAAGAGTGATTTTTTAAAAAGCAGAGAAGGATACACTGCAAAAGCCAGGACAAGCAGACACCACACTACACTGATATTCATCTCCTGTGAGGGTTTCACAATGCTGTAGTAGGCTTCTGTCACCACATACACAATTGTGGCTGCAACAGTGAAATCCACCAACCACTGATATTCCGGAAAATAATGCAATGCTGGAAAATACAAGTTTGCAAATGTTAAGGGTTTGATATTTTAATGCAGTTACAGACATAGAGTGACAAATTAAAAAAAAAGTTTTCAATTAACTAAGGTCTCAGTAGATCCAGATCATCCACATGAAGAGCAACAATAGCAAAAAAGCCACATTTTTTCCAGTTACCCACCTGAATTTCTCTCTTCACTTGTTACGCAAGACTTAATTACTACTCAAATTTATAAGGCTACAAAATTTCATTATTCTATAATCTCAGCTCTTATAGGTTAACTTCCTAAATTAAAAACACATATTTGACTTAAATCTCAACATCAAGACAGAAAATTACTCCTCTGTTGAGTGCAGCTGCAATTCCAGCTCATAGGTCTTCAGACTCTCTGCTAAAGACTAAAAGTTCATTGGCCATAATTTAAAATACTACATATAATCACTTCCTCTGTTTCTTATAAAAAAAACAAACAACATTCAAGATACTGATTGTTGGTCTTACACCTTTTGGTAGTATATCCTGTAGAGCAATAAATCACTGTATAAATTCCACTGTAGAAACTCTGAGGATCATACTGTGTTGCATGCAGGCTGGGTGATTTATAAAGAGAGTCAATTTATCACAATAAATTGCAACCTGTCCCTCCCCAACACCTTCCCCACACCTACACTGTTAAAATGTCACGAAACATTATTGAGTATTTGTCTGTTGACTATAAGCTACCTGATGTCAAACACATGAAATTGGCCAAATTTATTTTTAAATAACTATGTGGTTAAGTTCAACAGAAACTTGTATATGTAAATTTTTAAGACAGTTAAACCTCATACTGTATCTACTCGTCTATCTATCTCAGTGTGGTAGTTAAATGCTATGATTTCAAGCAAATAACACTGAAAATCGTGAATGCTTTGTTTATTCATATGCCAGCTTCAAAAAGCCCTGCATTTCTGTGAAACGCATTTTATATGACGTCCCCTGTAATTTAAACCCAGAAATCTGCATAGGACTATGCTACCTTTCATCTCTATTTATGTGTAGAACCCATGCATATAAAAACACAGGAAGAAAATACGTATCACGCATACATACATATCCATATTTGAGTTTCCTGTAACAGAATGACTGGTTATGATTAAGGAAAAAAAATACCATCTAAAAAACCAGCAATTTCTAAAACACTTAAAGCTGCTTGTTTATGTACCTGCCACTTCTGGTTTCCAAGCATTTTACCTCAATACTTCAAGTGTGTGGTTGAAAGGTCTAGTTTCAGTGCCACAGTATATATCTGTTTTAGACAAGCAGAAAGTATATGTTTTGACATCTGCCAATTGTAATTTTCTTGTACAAAGCCATGATCTGTATTTCAAACAGAAGTCCATTTGGAGTTGTCTCATATTGCTATGGATGCCTGATACAATAACAGGTGTTTTAGGTGGATTTCACCTCCTCATCCTTCCCTGCAACACTGCTATTAGGATGTCACCCATGGAACAACACAGGAGACTTGGCCCAAGTTCTATCTTCCCATTTAACTTTGCGACCAGTTGTACTTCATTCATTGTCTATAAAAAGAAGATATTCCAGCATTCGTCGCAAATAAACACTCAGCTGAAAGCATCAGGATGTATTTGACATAATGTACTATTGCCTGCATCCAGTTATTCTTACCAATAGTGTCCCTTTCAGTCACAGATTTTGTTTCCAGATGAAGGTCAATATCTCTCGGAATGGTTAGGGGTTTACTTTCAATATGACCATTGTATTTTCTGTAAAAATAAATGGACAATGCAAACATGGATGACAAACTTTTCCAACATACAATAGTATTTCAAACTTAAGAAGAAGTACAGACTGCTTTTTTGCCATATGCAAGCATTTATTTTTTTTTTATATCTAGCTAAAAACACTAATTCAAGTTCAAATCTTGAGAAACAACCAAGTATGTCAACAATTCCTACCTTTAACTTGCAAGGCTCTGACACACTACAGTAGTAAGTGTTTAAATGGCTCCTACATGCTGCATCCTGAGCTGTACTAGGGCAAGATCCAGTGGTCAGTATTTACTTCAGCCCATCAATCTTTGTTGAGGGAGATACAAGATGTTCTATTAAGTTCTCAGTCTCAAAGATTAGTGACACAAGTACAGCTACAAGGCAAAATATATCCACTCTGCCATTCAAATACCCACCAAAATAAAATCAACCCTAATCTGAGACCTTTTAATTGAGGTCTAGACCAGGCTGCAGACAGACAGGAATGCTAAAGTGTTCAGATTCAAAGTATATAAAAAAGACAGAGATTGGGCAGTGTTAATTTATTGCATGTTCACTGGAAAGAACAGCAAGCAGTAATCTATCTTACAAGACAGCTGATAAGGAAAAAAATGAACAAAACACCCAAATTTTTGCCCCAAAATTAAGACTTTTTTTGTTACAAAAGGGTGCTTTGCAAGTCTATCACATGAATCAGACAAACCTAGATCCTTAAAACATCCATCCTACCAGCCACCAAGCAAAGACAGTTTTTTAAGAGTATTCTATTCTGAAAGAGTATATGTAGAAATACCCTTGTTTCAAGTACACTTGTGTCAATTCATTCCTTATGAAAAGAAGCAAAAAATATTTATTGTAGTATTACTTGCTTATGCAAATGAAGGGAATAGGGCAACCAAAGATTGATCCTAACACTGCTAAATCCTTCCTGGCTTCCTTCATTTAGCAACCTGAGGATGATCTGAGGCAAAGACTTAATCTTCTAAAATAATTTTCCAAAACCTATGTGAATTTGCCTAATCACTTCTGAGCCAGCCTGAAATTTGCTAAGCTGCATATTGCCTAATAGCACAAAGTACCACAATGTGTGTCCCAAAATGGGACATCCTTAACTCTAACACCATTCAGTGCCTCCTTGTATAACATAGTAGTAAGTTTACTACTCCCTACCCACCCTCTGTGCACACCTAGCTTCCAGTCTAGTAATCCTTAAACTGCTTCTCCTTGTGTGGAAGCCCTTCTTCTAGGCACCATTGCTTCCCTTTCCCAGTTCTACTGAATCATCTTTGAAATAAAAGTATGCTTTATATGTATAATATGAAGTAAGACTGTTCTGCAAATTGTTGGTTAGAACTAGCACATCTTGAAAAAATAACTTCTCAGAGCAAAGACAGATGCAAAAGTCATAAAATACGACATATTTAGAGTAAAAAGCTCATTTTTCTCTGGAGCTCTGAAACTATATGCAATCATGATCTTCACTTTCCTGAAAATAAGCTACACTACTAGACTTCAGATTGAAGAAAACAGGATGCCCTTGAAAGAACCTGCACAAAGTCAAGTTACATTAAATTAGGTTGAGAGATTGCCATTACAAGTTCCCCCCCCCCCCCCCCCGTAGGAGGCTGAGTTAGACAGACAGCAAAACTGGCCAGAGATATTCCATTGCATAGAGCTATGTAAGCTCAGAGGAAGGTCAGAAATCACAGAAGGCAACTTCCTTCCTGCTTCTTCTTCCTTTCCCTTCTGTCCATGGCTGGCATCCAGGCACAACTCCATCCACCCACCACAACCAACCCCCAGGCTGGAGCTCTCCTGACCTTCATCACTCTGCACTTTCTCCAGCAGCTTCAGGACTTTTCGGGACTGTTCCCAGCTCAGGAGATGCTGTGGGAGTTGCTGGGGGTGGGGGGAGGTGAGAGGCTTTTGCACATTCCTGATCACATTTGTATATAACTGTATATATTTGCTTTTATCATTAGTGTTTAATTAAAGCTGTGCAGTTCAGTTTTCAATCCAGCCAAGTCTCTCTCGTTCTCTCTCTCCTTCCCTACCTCGGTGGGAGGGGGAAGGGATTGAGAGCATTGTTGTAGCTGGTTTAATTGCTGATCTTGAGTCAAACCATGACAACAAACTACATCAAAATTTACCTCATTACTATTCAATTATTAAAGAAGATCAGAAAATGTGGGGGTTTTTTCTGCTAGAAAACAAAAAACAAAACTTGAAACCCCTAAATGGATACAAGGAAACAGTATACTATGCCAAATTGTAAAATAGCCCTTTTGAAAATGAAAAAGAGGTGGATTTTCCACAGAAAGATAGGTTATTGGAACATAAGCATTAAAAATAAATTAAATCAATTGTGAACTTATTTTAAAGAAATTATGTCCTCTCTGCTAACACTAGAGATGAGAATACAAGCACAAATTATTAATAAACATTAATTTTTTTTCAGGTGACGTTAATTCTTAGTACCATCCAAAGCACAAGAATTTTAACCAACTGAAAAGGGAGAATAGGAATCTACACCATTACTGAAAAAGTTCGGTGCTCAGGCCTAAACAAGAAGTCCCAAACACTGCCCAGTCACTTGAGTACCTCTAAGCTTCTGTGTGCTTCCCTGCTCCAGCTGTACTCCTGATGTTTTTTCCTACTGCATGCACCCAAGAATACCATCATCTTGAGTTAGAAGATTTTGATAACTGAAGCCATTTCAACCCAAAAAAATTTAGTGCTCCTACATTTATCCCTTGGGACCAGAGTCAGAACATACCCAGGATCACTGACAGTTCTAATACAAAGTAATTCATAGTAACTTCGGACCTTTTCATTAGCCTGAAAATTTAATATAACACAAACTATTCTGAACTAGAAAATCTACCTTATATTCATTTTCTATTATAATACATAGCATAAAATATTCAAGTGTAATATGCATTTAATGCAATGGACAAGTTCACACTACAGCTTTTTCTAAGGCTCATTTTCAAGCAAGCTCCTTGGATGTCCTTTCACCATTTCTCTTTTAATTAGTTCAAATTGGAAAAGTATTTAAGTTAGGAGCAGGTACTACATTTTGCAAGGCTATGGGAATGACAAAGCAAATTCTTTATCTTGAAAAGACCCAGGAACAATCAAGTAGATGTGTCCTTATTTCCCCTTGCAAGGGACCATCCCTCAGGACCTATATTTGCTGGAACTGGTGTCAAAACCCCATTGTGAGCACTGAACAAAGTCTGGCTTGCACCCCAAAAGGCCTGAGAAGATGGAGACTGCACTGATGGCTGCCTATGGCCTGTGACCTGCATTGAGTTAAGGATGGAGGGGTGGAGGGGGCAGGTCCACTCCAGCTGCTCAAACTTATGACTCAACCACGCTTGCTCATCCTTGGGAAAGAAGGCAACTGCCCATAAAACAGGGGGTTGCACTAGTGGGCTTGGGGAGCCTCACTGACACCAACTCTCCCCTGCTGGCAGGACCGGTGATTTTCTGTTATCTCTCTCTCAAAGCTTTTATTCTACTTTCTCTTCCTTCCTAAAGTAACACAAGGCCTAACCACGATTTTTTCTCAGTTTGTGTAGCTTAAACATCTATGTATTGTACTCTTGTGATCTAATTGTCAGCATTTATGATCATGCAGCTTAAAATAATAATTGAAGTATCTGTATTCCTTCTATGGTTGTAAGTAAACCTAATATTCATATACAGACCCCACCTGGAATACTGCGCACAGTTCTGGTGCTCTCAGCACAAGAAAGATACAGACCTGTTGGAGAGGGTCCAGAGAAGGGCCACCAAGATGATCAAATGCCTGGAGCAGCTCTGCTGTGAAGACAGGGAGGGAACTGGGACTGTTCAGCCTAGAGAAGAGAAGGCTCCCAGGAGACCTTAAGGCCCTGCAGTTCCAGAAGGACAGAGAACTGCCTGAAAGAGTCCAGCGCAGAGCAACAAATATGATAAAGGGAGTGGAACATCTCCCTGATGAGAAAAGGCTGAGAGAGATGGGTCTCTTGAGCTTCAAGAAGAGGAGCCTGAGGGGTGACCTCATCAAAGTCAAAATACATTCAGGGCAGTGTCAGGAGGACGGAGCCAGGCTTTGTTCATTGATATCCAGTGATAGGACAAGAGGCAGTGGGTGCAAACTGGAACATAGGAGGTTCCAGCCAACATCAAACATCAGGAAAAACTTCTTTACTGTGAGAGTGACAGAGCCCTGGAACAGGCTGCCCAGAGAGGCTGTGGAGTCTCCTTCTCTGGAGACATTCAAAACCTGCCTGGACACGTTCTGTGTGATGTGCTCTGGGTGACCCTGTTCTGGCAGGGGGGTTGGATTGGATGATCTTTCCAGGTCCCTTCCAACCCCTAAGATTCTGTGATTCTGTGATTACTAGTTAAATGGAAAGTTGTAAATTGTGATTCTACTTAAAACCATTTTGTCTCAATTTGTTTCAGAGAACTGCAACAAACATAAAATTAAAGCTATTTAATATTAAAGGAATAACTTAATTCTTTACCCCAATGTGTAGCAAATAAGGGTGCTAACCAAAGAACTACAAACACAAGGGTGCTTAAGGACTACAAAACCAAAAAAAAAACAAACCACATTAAAGTGACCAGATTATGTGTGCACTTTGTGGATTACAAGAGAGTCCGTAACTAAATAAAATAATAAATAATGGAATAGAAGAAAAAATACTAAAGGAAAGAACCTATTATCACCAAAAAGAAAGCCAGGGGGCAGTTTTATTTGTTTTAAAAACAGCCAATTCAGAATCTTGCATCAACACAGCAGTTACACCATCTAAGGATGTCTCAGTTCTTGCCACAGTTGTACTTCTGAAAGGCTGTTCATCTTCATGCCTGAACTCCGGAAACCTGTTTCCACCTTCATCTGACAGACAGCTGTTCCATCCCTGTCAGTCACCTTTCTGCTAGTTTAAGCAAGACAAGATCCTCCAGCCTCCACACCTCCACTTGTAAGACAGACCTGTTTCCTGTATGATCCCAGCAGCCCTCTGTTCACCTGTTCACGTACAAATTCATTATTCTTGAACATGACTGACCGGAACTGTACATAAAAATCCAGATAAAGTCCTACACTGGTGCCTTGTCCACAAGGATTAACACTCCCCTATCGCTTCTCCTGGAAATACCTCACCCAATACATCCTAGGAGTACATTTACCTTTTTCACAGCTGTGTAAGAGTAGTGGCTCACAGTAATTCTATGTTGAACTAATAGACTCAAATCTTTCTTCACTTGCTTCAAAAAGAAGATCTTCAATCCTATAGAAGATTTGCTCTCCTCAGTTTTTCATCCAAATGAATATATTCACTGAAAAAAACCCTCCTTGTCACCAAATTGGCAATTTCACAGACCAATTCTGTGAACTGGAAATCAACCAGTCCTGCTTAATTTGGGCATATTCAAACTTCTGTTAAAGTAAAAGCTGGGTACAGAGCAGTGCATTTAATGCATGCAGAGCACTCACATGTTGCTAGCAACTAGCAGCTTCCTCACACAAAAATAAAATCCTCCTGACAAAGTTATTATATAGATTATGCGGGGGGGAGAGGAAAGAAGAAGAAAAAAAATCTTAAGTACTTACCTATCTTTTTTGCTCTTTCCTCTTTGTTTCCCTGCAAGAATCCTTAGTTCTTCTTCAGTAGGATGCTGATACCACCGCAAACTGAAGAAAAAGAAAATCTCAAGTAAAACAGTATCAGTATTAGCAATTTAGTGTTTTGGTTATTTTTTTAAAACTATGTATCAACACAGATCTATGTGCATATTAAAACACTGGTCTTTTGCAACACCTAAGTAAATGAATTGCTAACACTTTGGAAGTGTTAACACCCTGCATGAAAACCTGGACGGACTGGAAAAGTGGACTAACAAGAATCTTATGAAGTTCAACACAGTCAAACGTTAAGGTCTTGCACCTGGGAAAACACAACCCAGGAGTGCAGCACAAGCTGAGGTCTACCACGCTGGTGAGCAGCTCTGTGGAAAGGGGCCTGGAGGTCCTGGTGTACAAGAAGCTCAAGATGAGTAAGCAGTGTGCTGCAGCAGCAGCAAAGAAATCCAACAGGATGCTGGGTTGCATTAATAAGGGCAACATCAGCAGAGAGAAAGAACTCCTTACCCCACTCTGCTCAGCACCTGTCAGGCCACACCTGGAACATTCTGTTCCTTTCTGGTCCCCACTGTACAAAATGACGTGTACAAGCTGGAGAGAGCCCAGAGAAGGGTCATGAGGATATCAAAGGGCTGGGCAGCCTCTCATGTAAAGAAATGCTGGGAGAACTGGGTTGTTCAGCCTGGAGAAAAGGAGGCTCACAGGAGACCTCATCCCCATATTCTAGTACTTAAAGTGTAACTACAGAGAAGATGAAGACTCTTTCTACAAGGACTCATATGTAAAAGGCGAGGCATAATGGGTACAAGTTACTTCTGGGAAGATTCCAATTGGACACAAGATGACAATTTTTCACAATGAGAACAATCAGCTGTTGAAATAATGTCCCCGGGGAAGTGATGGATTCCCCAATATTGGACACTTCTAAGACACAGCTCGACAGGGTGCTGGGCCACCTTCTCTAGACTGTTCTATTCTCAAGAAAGGTTGGATGACACGACCTCTGAGGTCCCTTCCAACTTGGTATTCTGTGATTCTTGCATACAAGTATGAACACTGCCTTAACTGAACTACCACAGCTCAACTTCAGTTCTCTTCAGCCTATCTTTATTCATGTTTAGAAAGCTTTGCTACTTTATCATTTAAGCAAAAGCCCTTCACTCCTCAAAACACCAAATTTTCAAGTTATCAAATACAGCAAACAAGGTTGTACCTATATTGGAAAAAGTCCATCAGAATAATTAGAATCCATTACCCATAAGTACCAGAGATAGCTAATTCTCCAAGATGGCACATGTTACCTTCATCTATAAGCATATCAAGAACCTTAGTAGCTGAAACCAGGCGTTTTCCACATTCAACAAGGGAGGGCTGCTGTCCAGATGAATTAAGGATGTCACTCTCATCTCCATTCTGAAATGGTGGGCAAAGGAGCCCAGGTATTAACAGAAACAGACTCAGGAAATTTATCTGTATTTATGTGGAAGTACTTTTCTGGATTAGGAAGCATCATTTGGCGACACAGGTTAACATAGTAATAGTAAAGACAATGGAACCCACAAACATCAGCATTTCTCGTGTTAAGAAAACCTCATAAAGTAGGACCATTCAAAATCTTTAAATCACTGAAGCAGATATGTAACATTCAATTTCAAAAATATAGCAAGGTATATTGGGAAAATAAACACCGAACCCAAATAACCTCAAGCCACTTGATAACACTCGATCCTCATCTCTGTTTGGAAAGACTTCCTGTGACAAATGGAAGTCTGGACCACCTACCCTTATATTCATAGAATATTGCCTTCTGTGTAAATACTAAAAAATCCTCAAATTCTTCACAGAACACTGTCTACACAATAAATCCTGAGGGAGGTCCACTGCTACAAGATCCATGCTAAAACCAGAAACAGTCCTAAATGAAAGCAGCCATAACAAGTAGTATTATTCATCTTCTTTCTTCTTTGTGGTGGCATGGACACTGTGTGTGCATACATGCTGCAAAAGACACTAGCTAAAGACTACAAGAAGAATAGGTACAATTTTTATGAAAGATATGTATCACTGAGAATCTGTCTGCCTGAAAGATCTTAAAAGGAGAAATTGTCCCTCTGTCCTGATACTGTCCTTGACACTACACTAAACCTAGCTGAGGGCAGGAAAGTGGGAATGCAGAAAAATGGCGCAACAGAAATACAACACATTTCAGGAGGAGCTCCCAGTTTTGGCAATTTAACTGTTGGTATAATGAAGCATTAAACAGGCAGTTGCACAGAGCTCATGGATATAATCTTAAAATAACTTCAATACTGACATAAATAAACAGATAAGACTTCAAGCCAGCAATATTACAAATAATGCAATCTGGTTAACAGGAGGTTCCAAGAGCCTTGTGTCAGTAGGTACTACTGAGCTAGAGAATCGGCTGATGCTAGGATTTCTTCAAGAGAAAGGAATGTCAGTATCAATCAGTAATACCTCACAGAGATCCAAACCATTGCATACTGCAAATTTCCCTTGCAGGAATTCACTGCCAGTTCAAAAACTGAAAATGGCAACTACTACAGACTGTCAGAACAAGGAGTTTTGGGGAGAACACTGTGAATTTTGTTTGGGGTTTTTTTTTGAGGCATCAGTAAGAGTGCAAGTTACTTCAGTTATTTATCACGTGGTCCTAGCTGAAAAAATTGCTGCTTGCAAACTTTGCTGCAAAGAGACAAGTCTGAGAATCACACAGATATCTGAACATGTACCTTTTAATCCAAGATAATGAACTACATCAGATACTAACTTCTTCCTATATTTCACATGATCTAAAGAAAGCAGGGAAAAGTAGAGAAACAGTCTTCGGCTTTGTCATTCACCATCTTGCAGACCTGACCTTGGCATACTGAGAATACCACAAGTAGTTCTGTAGTGATGAAAACCACCTATGTTAGAAGCTAACTATTCACAATCTTTCCTGCACAAATAGAGAGACAGTACTTATTAAAGCAGAACATATCGAATTCTTATTCTCTGTTACGTATTAACACAACCCAAAGACTTAAACCACAATTTGTTTTTAATTACACTAGAGAATCATGATGCGAGTGAGTCATAATTATAACTAACAGGATGGGGATTTTTTTATTTAATAAACCCTACACACCTTGCACTTAAAATCTCAAAACCAAGAGACCTGAAGGAGCAATCTCATAGATGTAGAGCTGAAAAAAAAGGCAGCTTATATCTGCTTTAGCTTCCATGTGTTTAAGACTGAGATCCCGCAACTGATGACTCTGTAGCTTTGACATATCCAAGTTACTCTGAATAGCCACACCAACACAGATACACCCCAGTCAATTGGAATAAAGGTCATTAATGAATGCACAAAAAAACTTCTGTTTTCTCCTGTCTTCCTGAGGTGGCCTTAAAACAACCTAAAAGCAATATTCTGGCAGAAAATGTTTTATTAGTTAAAAAATGCAAAGGCCTGTGTAGTTAAAATACAGATCACTGACTTCAATAAATGTAAGTATTCAAATTCTGTCTAAACTCTGAAAATAACATTGATTGAAAAAGTTTGCATTTCTTTACAAATTTAAGCAAATTGTTTTTCAACAGGCAATTACAGAGGCTCATTTTGTAAACAAATAATTATGTCTGTCCGTTCTAACAATTCTAAATTTTCAAGTGTCTGTGTTTCCTTTCAAGGGACTTTGAATGTGCACATAGAGACATCCTGAAATCAGCTAGTCACTGAAGAGTTCCTGGTTTGTCTAGTGATGTGTGTTTATCCTCCCCCCAACTTGCAAGGGCTACCTGTAAACATTTCAGACTATCTTGCTTAGAAAAGCTCTCAAACCCTTTGGAAGAAAGACACGCTAGATAACTTAAAAAATGGTTTAGGGAACTAAAGACTATATGAGGAATGTTGAAGTGTATTGAAAGGAGGTGCAGGTAAAAAGTCTTCCTAGGACAGTTGAATTGCTTAAATGCATGTCTGTGTGTGTCTATACACTTAAGTGTGTAAAACCCTCCAACACCGCACAGGTTTGTCAAAGAAAACACTGCTGGCAAAAAGACAGCACAAAGGAAAATGGGTAAAGATAGTTTGTCAGCCCAACTAAGAAGAGAAGACCTTTTTTTTCTTTCTGCCATTAAAATTCTTGTTGCTGTGAAGCTTCTGACTTGTTTTCATTTCTGGAACACAGAATTATTTCTGGCTCTTCATGTAATTCATGTATTCAGGAGTTTATTCACAATGACTGAAATTACAATGCAAACAGCTACCAGATAAGCAGAAGAATACTGAAAAGCAACAATATTTCCAAGGATACTAACATAAAAGGCAATAATAAGACTCCCATTGACTTAGTGGGAGCAGAATTCCATAAGCACAAGTGCAGATAGTCCTGCTTTATGTACTTAGCAGTTTGTGGGTATGCAGAGATAAAAGGAGAAAAGGTTTATGAAAAATATTTGAACAGCAAACCATTGGTACAATGCATGCCTTAGAACAAGGACACAGAAACTGAAACCTTCATAAGGATGAAGAATACAGCATAATATTGAGAAATTCTTTAGAAAGAGCAACTAAGTATTTAAAATTTGAAATAAAAATTTAAATAAATCTTTTAAATAGCACATAAAAAGTAGAAAATGCTATTTGAGTAATTGCTGACAAAACCACCATGGTAGTAACACACCTTAAAAAGAAATGGTATGTAGTTTCATATTAATTAATATTATTTTTAGAGCACAAAAAATGAGATCAATACCTCGCAGATGTGGTCAACAAACATGTAAAATTCATGTAACAGCTAACAGTATGATTCTTGTTCATATTATTCAGCTGAAAATTACTGTTTTCCATTATGCCTAGCCAGTGGATACCTACCATGCATCTAAACCCAACATTTAGAGTCATTTCTCATTAGCAGTTATTTGAGTGATGAGAAGTGAAATCAAGAATAATAATACTGGTAATTCTGAGATGAAGAGGAAAACAGGCAATGGAAAATTATACAAGACCGGCTAAGATTCCTGTGAAGCACATTATTCAAGGATACTACTTCCAAAATTTTAACAATTACGAAAGACAGCACTCTACCTTCTTACCATAAAAAGTGTTTTTCTTCCCAAATGAAGAAACATTGTCTATATTCCTTTAGTACCTAAGATACTGATTTATATTCAAAACAGCTTCTGAGTTTTGTTATTATTGCGGATATAGCCACACAGGGAATGATCCCCTTGCAACTCATTATGTCTGTTTGATCTATTGTTACGAGGAAGTAATATATTGAAATTCATACTAATCCTGTCCTATGAAGTATTAAAAAACTAATAAATACTTAAGGACTCTCTATATGCAAGGCTAATCAGCAGATGGATTATCAAGAACTCAGACACTGTAGAGAAAAAAATCTTTCCACCCTTCAGTCTCTTGTGTTTAAAGTATGTACCTTGTGCCTTTAATAATATAAGAGCTGGACAATAACTTTATGACTGATACAATGAACTGCAACAGATAAGCTTGTTCTTTTACAGCAAGGGTGTCTTTATGCCTTGAGCCTTTAAGTAAGGTGTCATGATGTTATGGTAATACATAAATAAAAGCAGTCTAACTGTTTTTCAAGACAAAAACCTAAATTAGTATGTTTTACTGATACTACTCTTACCCATAATTGCATTCCCATATTCACAAACAGTATAGGAACTGTTTCTTATCTTACCTGCCACTACAGAGAAGCCAACGAGCAAGAGAATAGTGAGGTATGATCTTCTGTATGACACTAGCCATTACCATGGTAACCACCAATTGTACACCTATCACACCCTGTAAAGGAATAAGTTAACAACAGGTCAGTATGTATTCTAAAAAAGTGATGAAGTGCCTTTAAAAAAAAAACAAACAACTTAAAACACCTTCTACGATAAGGATAATTTTTTGTTCTTTTTAAACCAGAGGGGAAAAGCACCCAAGCTGTACCAGTATTGAAGAAACCCCCTGGAACGTGCTACAATCGGTTACTTACTTCATCAGAGAAAAAGCCCTGCCTAGACTCAAGGCCAGAAGTGTGTCCCCACACACACTTGGACATGGCATTTCACAAGACATTATGCCTTAAAATTATGTCACTGATCACAACCTTGGTTATTTTGGTTTCTTCAGTTCCGACATGATTTAACAGCTGGCACCACAGAAACCCCCTGGAATTAACAACAATTTACAACATCCGCAGTGCGAAATTCCAGCCTTTGATTAACGAAGAGCATTTGCTACTTGCTGAACTCCAGGCACAGGTGAGGAAGGGAAGAAGGGCAAACCGGAATCAGGACTTGGCACTTAAGCAGAGCCAGCAGCAGTCTCATTCCCAGTCACTCAGCAAGCTTTAATTTTGACTACTGGTTGTTATTTTGATGTTTTTTCAGTTTAGTTTGTTTTGTATAGAAAGAAAAAAAAAAAAAGCGCAACTTTAAACTTCTGAAGCTAAATAGCAATGAGTGAAATATTGTATCATATTATTTTTTATCCCACACATGAAATAATAATAATGCCACATTAAAAAACAACATGAAGCATGCATATCGTATTTCCTCTATTAACATGCAAGATTTTTATGCTTAAAACGTCAAAAACAGTAGTAAAAAGTATAAAACACATTTGAGTGGTGGCATATAAGAATCCATATTCACTTTGCTTCTTAGATACCAACTTTTGGATATTGCTAGTCACTAACAGCATTATGAAGAAAAAACATTTCCCTCTTGAATTGTAGAAGTCGGGGAGTACACTTCACTAGTTTTGTGCTAATGATGCAATGTGTTAGGAGGCAAAAGTATTTATACATATAGAAGCAGTACGCAATTAACCACTGGCAAACACAACACAGATTAGCTCATGCACTTGAGAAACTTCTCCTCCAAAATTCCCCCAAGGAAGTGAGATTCATCCCTCAAGAACACCTGACCAGCAGCACAGCATGCAGTAGTGCCATTGCTCAAACACATCCTCTCCCACCTAGCCACACCTGTTCTCTTGGAGGAAATTTAACTAGATGCTATCTTTACCAGAAGTTTCTCTCAATGTAAAGATACTCCAAAAAGGAAAGAGCAATTCTTATAAAATGGTGAAACAGCTAAGGCTGGAAGGGATTTTTGGAGACCAGCTAGTCCAACCTTCCCTGTGAAGGACAGGGTCAAGTAGAGCAAATTTTGAATGTCTCCAAGGATGGAGACTCCACAACCCCTCTAGGTAAGCTGTGCCAGTGTTTCACCATCCTCAGCTCAAAGAGCTTTTTTTATTCCTTATGTTTAAATGTAAATTCTGTACTGTGCCCACTATTCCTTGTCCTTTCACAGAGCAACACTGAGAAATCTTCCTCCACCTTCTTTATTCCTCCCCATCAAGATCTCTCTTGAATCTTCTCTAGGCTCAACAGTCCCAGCTCTCTCAGCCTCTCTTTGTATGACAGACTCTTTTTACCACCTCTGTGGCCCTTAGCTGGACTCTCACGTGTAAGCCCGTATCTCTGTTGTACTGGAGAACCCAAAACAAGACACAGTACTCCAGTGTTCCACCTGTGCAGAGCACTTTTTTCAACCTGCTGGTGATTCTCAGCACAATGCAGCCCAAGGTGCCTTTGCCACAAGAGCTCACTGTTGGATTATGGTCAATTTAATGATCTCTGGGATCCCCAGGTCCCTTTCTGCCAATCTGTTTTCTAGATGGACAGCCCCCAACATGTCCTGGTATCTTTTCTTCTTCTTCCTCAGGAATATTGGCATTTCCCTTTGCTAAGCTGCATGACACTCCTGTTGTCCCATTTCTCCAACCTGTAGAGGTCCCAGAGGCTGGAAACCTGAACTTTCTTCCCATTGTCTGAGGAAGGCCTCATCTTTTACCTCTTCATGGTTAAGTTTATCTACAGCAGACAGCTACAATAACATCAACCATGCTGCTCTGTCCTCTAGTCCTCCACACATCCCTACTGCTTTCTCATGTAAAAGCTAATTCCTCCTCATCACTGTCCCAGCCAGTACTTTTAAAGGGCCTGAATCCGTCTGCATCCATGGCAGTCCACTAATCCCATTGCAACTCTGTTATCCCAAAGAAATCATAGCTCTGCCAACTTCATACTGCCCCATACTTTCCCATTTTCTCACCATGCTGCATACATTAGTGCTCAAGACGGTCAGAAGTACACTCAAGTGTGGCAATTTCCCAGGAGAGGTATAAGAGCTTCTTCCCCATAATGCTGGACTCACTGTCTGTACACAGGTATTTCCTTGTTTGTGTTCATAGAGTTGTGTGGGCCCCTTCTTCCCTGTTTAGTTGTTTTCAAGGACTTCTCCCTACATTACCCTGCGTACATAGCTTACCAATACAGGTCACCACTTTTTCCTGTCCATTTGTGAGCTTATCACCTTCTTCCTCTCACACTTAGCCTAAAGCTCTCCATGCCAGTTTAACCAGCTTCTTGGCAAAGATGCTTTTGTTGCATCTGGGCAGTTGGATGTTGCCTCCTTCTAGCAGCCCTCAAATCTCAAAGACGTCACATAAGTCAAGTCCCTGCTGTCAACACCTGCAATGCAACCAGCTTTTAAGCTACAGGATCCACCACTCTTGATCAACCTTCCCTCTCCTGATCACCAACACCTTATTTGACTTAAATGTTGTACTAAGGCAAGTTCTTCTCTTTTCTACCTTTAACGTTTTTCATTAAAAAAAAAAACAAAACAAAACAACCAGAAACACCTTTATGTTCCTTTTTTGTTTAGATACCATTAAGTTTCTTTAGTACTCAAGACTCTTGTCCCTCCTTGACATTTCTACTGCTCCTTTACATTGGTGTCATCAATTCTGAGGTATCTCAAAAAGGTACCTTTTGTTTATATTCCATGTCACCAGGAACAGGGATCAAGATCAGGATTGAAAGCTGTATGTATCATTTTAAACACTCTATCTTTATTAGGGATTCTTCATATCTTGGAGTCCCATTCATAAAACTACTCAAACCAATTCCCCAGTTAAGGGGAAGCATACTTGAAATTAAAGGACATGTTATTAAAACACACTGCCTGCACAATATATTTGATATATTTAAATTACTAAATTGCTCAGGAAGAACATACTCTAATCTATTTACAAAACATAAATGCATTTTTTAACTCAAATGTTTATCCTGACTAGCTCATAAGCTTAACCACTTCCACTCAATGTGAGAAAGACATCATAGTCTTTCTCTCTAGTCTGCCTAGCAGGCCAGGATCTCCAGAGTTCACAATCTCAGTGTAAAGTTACATTAATATTTCTCTAGAATTGCATTCTTATTAGGACGACTACTTAACTGGATGCCCACATCTGTTCAATTTG